TAATGGAAAGCCAATAATATATAATATTAACAATCAAGGTTTAAGTATGTCAATGTGGTTTGTCAACCGGATCCAATTACCACACCTGCACATTGAAGAATCAAGAAATTTTGATTTCAATTCCTTGAATAATAAAAGATAAATTGATGTGATATTACTTGAAGAATAAAATATCAACTGGCCTAATATTACCTGAAAATTGACAAAATCATGGTTGTTTGATGGAGGGAAGATGAGAATCTAATATTGTTGAAGATAGAAGAGTGGTAACATGGATAAGATTAACTCAATAGGGATGATTCAATGGTTAAGAATTGAAGATTTTAAGTTGAAGATCTTAAGTTCAAGTTTTGAGTCAAGTAGGAACAGATTTAGGAATAGAGGAGGATTATCTTCTTTTGTTTAGTTTATAATAAGATGTTAAAAAAAAAAAACATGAATATGATTAGCCGATTATATTTCACAAAAATCAATCGAAGCTTTTTATGAAAAAATTAACCGATTATATTTCACAAAAATGTAGGCCATGTTCAACGAGATTTTTAAAGAAAAAAAAAAATCTAATTACAGTGATTTGATTAACTTTGATTTCTTAATACACAATGAGAGTACGATTTGAAATAAATCAATCTTTTTTAATTAAAAGATTCAATAATTGATGAATAATAAGATAAATTAACTGCTATTCAAAATTGAATTACTGGAATTAATGAGAGAATATTATTGATATACTCCTACTAGATTTTGGATCCCACACCCTTATTATATGATTATAGATTAAATTAATGAGTAAAAATCTATTTATATATAATTTTTATACACTATCGTTATACAAAATCTCAATTAATTTTCACACTTACCCACCACACTTACAATAAGAATAAGGATAAAAATTAAGATTTTGTGTAAAAATAATGTGTAAAATTTAAATGTAAATAAATCATTTCTTTAAATTAATTTCCTAATCTGTAGTCTCACATCATTATTTTTCAAAAAGGCTCCTTGGCTATTTATTGTTATAGAAATTAATGAGAGAATATTATTGATATATTAGATTTCGGGTCCTACACCTCTATTCTGTAATTAAAGATTAAATTAATTTTTTAATTTGTAATCTCGCACTTTTATATTATATTTAAACTACCTTTTAATAGATTTTTTTAGAAAAGATTATTAGATATTTATTGAAAATTTTTTTAAAGTCTATTGAGTATTTATTGAGTATTTTTTAAAATCCAATGTATATTTATTTAAGAATTTTAGAGAGAATTTTATTGTTATAATAGTTTTATATTTAGTTATGGTGAATATTTATTGAGTATTTTTTTAAAATTCAATAAGTATTATTTAATAATTTTAACATGAATTTTATTATTATGACAGTTATATATATATATAGATAAGATGTCATATGTATAATTCTTATCTTAGCAATTAATAAAATTTTTATATTTTTTTTATAATAACTAATGGAAAAAAATACTTCTAGAATTAGAAAAATTCTATTGCAAGTTGCGGTGTCAACGTACACTGATTTTAAGTGCAACCCTAAATTGACGTACCAATTGTAAGCATCACTGTGACTTGGCAGTGACCCTAGTAGCATCTTGACTCTTGATTCCAATAGGAAGGAGTCAAGAGTCGCCATTTTAAGATAAGGGATTTTTTCCTTTTTTTGCTAATTATTAAGTGCAAGAGAATTTGAACTTGTCTTTTTCAAGAATATAAATACATAAATATTTTATTGACTATATTTATTGAGAATAAGCATTATAACATGTCGTAACCAAATTGTTATTGACTTTTTCTTATTCAGTTAGGGTGCATGAATCTTTATTTATAATAAAAGAATTTATAATTGTTAAATATGAATAATTATAATCAATAGACTTTTTTCTTTACCAACAAATAAAAATCTTACAAATGGCAATCATTACTCAATACAAAACTCAATCCCCACCATCTAAAACACTTTTGCCATAAATTATAAGCTATCTCACATGAAATAAACAAGTGATTTTCCTCCTCTTGTTTTTTACCACAAAGCCCACATATAGAATGTTGCTCCTCTACAAGAATTCCTCTTCTAAACAGATTCATTCTTATAGGCAATTTTTTCAGTAAAAGCTGCCATGCAAATGTTGTTACCTTGGAGGGAGTCTTGGATTGCTAGAGCTTTGAGAATAGTCCCTGTGTAATATCTTGTTCACAATTTGCTAGTAAGGAATAAGCTGATCTTACTAAGTATTTGCTGCTTGTATCCCATTTCCAATTCCAATTATCTTTTTCACCCACAGTTGGTGCTACTCCATCAATCATATTTGAAAGGTACCTTATCAATTCTTCTTCCCATGCATGTAACCTTCTCCTCCATTTCAAGTTGCACGACCAGATTCCATTTCTCCAAACACCCATGTCACTAACTCTTGCTTTTTTATCCGTGGACAGCATGAAAAGTCTTGGAAAAATATTAGCGAAACTGTCAGTACTTATCCAAACATTATTCCAGAATTCAATGTCAACCCCATTTCCCAAACCTACTGAAAAACCCTCACTAAGCCACCCTGACATAGAGCCAATCTCCCTATCAATATTCTTAATGTCTCTCCACCAAACAGATCCTATCCTACTACCCTCGCACACCCATCTTATCCAATTTTCCCCTGTTCCTCCATATTTCTCCCTCAAAACCCTCTTCCATAACCCATTTTCATCACTAGCCAATCGTCCCCACCATTTGCCTAGCAAGGCTCTGTTGAACGTCGCAAAAAATAACCTGTAATCCCAGCTAGCAATTTATAAGTTATTATGCAGAATAAACAAGAGTAATATAGTGCAGAAAAATAAAAAGAAAGGGAAGAGAATATCAAGCCGTGATTTATAGTGGTTCCTCCAACCCGGAGTACGTCCACTCCCC